ATCAAATAAAGTCAAATAGATCTTAATGGCAAGATGGTAACGATCCGATCTTACAAAGAAAGGAACAATGTATCTGAACGACGAGTATGAAAAATCGCATGGCCTTTGAAAAGAGAAAGAAAAAGAGAAAAAGAGAAAGGAGTAGAATGAGTAGAGGGAGAGAGAGAGAGACAAAGAGAGAGAGAGACAAAGAGAGAGAGAGAGAGAGAGAGAGAGAGAGACAGAGATAGAAGTAATGGAATGTGAGTGGTTGGGAGGGTGGCAACGCGGTGGAACAAACTTCCTCAATATCCTTGTCTACTTCGCGAGAGCGGGCAGGCCGCGTGTGGCGAGCGAAGCAGATATTAAACTTAATATACGGCCGCAATTAGGCGCAGGCCTTCGCCCTCCGCAGTTACACGCTCTCCTTCTCTTATACTCGTTTGGCTTCTCCTAGTACGTTTGTATTTACCACTGCGTGAGTGGTTCGCTCGGTGTGCGTATCTCGTGCGAATACAAAATCACGCGTCGTCTTTGTGTATGTGTATATATATATATATATATATATACGTACATACATACATATATATATATCTTCTTCGCATCTAACACGACTTCATCTTAAATCATTCGACCGAACGCGTCGAGCTAATTAACCGCGAGAGCGTCCATGCAAGAGTAGTACTTAATTGGATCGAATTTTTTTTTTAGAGTCGGATGAGAGTGACGAAAGTCTTTTCGATCTGACCGAAAAAGAATTCTTCTTCGATGATTCGATCGTCGAGACGATCGTTAACGAATCCCCCCCTCCCTCCCCTCCAATCTCCTCCTCTACCCACAGAACAAGCCAACGTGCTACGGCACTTTATTATCAGACGAGAAGACAATAAGATATGAAGATTTTTATTTATGTCAGCGGATAAGGAATGAAACAGAAAAAGAGAAAAGAAAAAAAAAAGAAAAGAAAAGAAAAGAAAAGAAAAAATCGAAAGCAAGGAAAAATCGTGTCGAACACTGCAAGATAATTAACAAACCTTGACCAATCAAGGGGTAACGATCGTTAACGTTATACGGATCTTCATTATTAAAATGAATGATCGGCGATAAATAGAAAAATATTTTCAAGACAGAGAGAAAGAAAGAAATAGAGAGAGAGAGAGAGAGAAAGATAGAGAGAGAGAGAGAGAGAGAGAGAGAGAGAGAAAGAGAAATGATACGTTCGATGACCGAGCTTTTCTCTCTATCTCTCAAATATTTTATCAATTAACTCGTGATTCAAGTCTGCCCAAACAGACTTTCAGAGCTAATGATTTCTATTTATGTCTGATACGTTTCTTTATATCAAATCACTGATGCAAAAATGAAAAACAACGCAAAACACGAACGTTTATGAATTATGATAATAAATGATCGATAAGTTGAATCAAATTGCGCTTTGGAAAAATCTGACTTTTTTTGAATGGAATTATTTGGAATTGATACTTTCGCGATCCGAACAATAAGGTATCAAAATTTTTTTCAAAATAATATTTTACGTTTAAAGCGACATTCTATTTGAGGGGAAGGAGGAGGTTAGAGAGGAGGGAGGGGGGAGAACGATAATGTCATTGCAAAAATAGTCTCTCTCTAATAGAGATAGGTATATATTGTCGTAAAATGTAGTGCTATATATATATATATATATATATATATATATATATATATATATATATATATATACCGAGAAGCATTAGAGTACTTTATCCCACAGAAATTTTTGATAATGCTTACGGCGGCACTTCGTCAATGGCCGCCAACGGATATTTATGGCGAATGAAATGGCCGCAATCAGGTTCACCGGTTTTCGAAGACCGACGAGAACTCGCTGGAAAAGAAGATGAGGAGTGAGAATGAGAAAGAATGAAAGGGTGAAAGAGAGAGACAGAGTGAGAGAGAGAGAGAGAGAGAAAGAGAAAGAGAGAGAAAGAGAGAGAAAGGGAGGAAAGAATGGAGAGGGGAAAGCTGCAACGAAGGGTTTTCGAGCTCTCTGCCTCGACTTGCCCCTGCGTGATGTGCCGCCAGCAGGATGGAATGGTTCCCCTCCGGTTGCCAAGGTAACGTATGGCGCACCCTTCGAGTTTCAACTACCACCTCGTACTGCTGCAGCGGTCCCGTTTCTATGTGCGTATGTTTCTGTGTGCGTAGCTATATGTATATGTTTCGAGATCGTGCGCACGTTGCCCCCGAAAAAGCATCTACCGACGCACGCGCTGAATTTTGTGCGAGCCTACACACATAGATACATGCATATACATGTATATATACGAAAGATATATACACTCTCTCTCTCTCTCTCTCTCTCTCTCTATCTCTCTTTTTCTCTGTCTCTCTTTCTATCTCTTTTCTCTTTCTTTCTTTTTCTCTCTCTCGTTCTTCGTGGACCACACTGTTGGGAACGGCCATGCTGAATTCAATATCAGCATTCTCTGCATTCTCTCGAAATTTTCTCCTTCGCTCTGAACGATATGTGCTTGATAGGTTACCCTGCATCAAGATCCGCGTATGGCTCTCACCATCGAAGGCTTCATCGCCAAGAGGAAGGATACTTCGAGAGTACCAAGGGAACTCCGAGAATTCGCCTTCTCTCGAGTAGTATCGAATTTACTTTTTTTATTTTTGTTTGTTTGTCTTTTTTTTCTTTTTTTCTTTTTTTTTTTTTTTTTTTTTTTTTTAAATAACGATCGAGAAGTAAGGATTTTATCCTTTTCCTTACCTCTTTCGCGAATCTCCCACGAATAAGGAGTTCGATATTATGCGACATTTGGTGAGGTTTGATGTGACAATTTTTTAAATGCATGCTTAAGGTACATGTTGAAATTTGTTGATGATACGTGAAAATTTTTATATTGTATTTAACATACTCAATTCAACTAAAATAATATCGATCAGATATATATATATATATATATAGGTTGCTGCTATTTGCATTATAGTATTATCTATATAACGTTATTTATGATTTATGCGATCAATTCTCGACGCTCATAAATCATCGAAGACTTAACGATTGATATAAAATTTTGATAGCTTATGTTTTCTTCTTTCCTCTCTTTTTTTTTCTCTCTCTTCTTTTCTTTTCCTATTTTTCTTCTTTTTTTTTTTCTTTTTATCAGTATCAGATTTTATTCGATAAAATCTACGTGACGATTTATTTACTCATTATTCATGTTTTATGTTCGAAGAAACGTACATTGACTCACAAATAAATCGGCTTTTATCGACGACGGATCTTTGAAAGCGTGTAATGCGAGGAACGCGTCAAGTGATAAAAGAGGTGTATCATTGTGATTGTAAGAAAGAAATGATGTACTTTATCCGACGCATAAAATGTGACATTTTCATTTTGAAAATCGTGCCTATTTATTTTCCTAGTGCCTTAAAATGTTAAGGTCAAGGGAAAAATCATTTTTAACTCGAACTAATCATACGTCGCGTATATCTTCGCTTATGCCATTGTCTACGATGTCTACGATCGTTGTGACATACATCAGAACTGATCCATACATCCAAGAAACATAGAAAAAGACAATGAGTGAATAAGAAAAAGAGAGACAGAGAGAAAGACAGTGGCGGGTGGGCGATCGGGACGGGGGGTGGAGAGTAGGGTAAAAAATGAAATGGTAAAAGAATGCTCGTCACGACAGCAACGATCTGTCGGCTTTGTTGAATTATCCGTCCGATAGCATACGTGTCCTCGCTACTCAAATATTCCATTATCGTTGAAAATTTATAAGACCATTAAAAAGAGAATCCACGATGTGTTCATTCCGGCTTCGTAAAAATTTATGATTTCTCGCATTTTCACACACGATCTCATGGGATATTCGAATGGTTATTTCGAATTGTGTGTGATTGGAATACTGATGATAATCGATGTCGATAGTCTTCCTGCGATTACTTTCGTCGATCGTTCGTTTATGACTCGCGTATTATGAGGATGTTTAACGATAAGAATGCGAAAAATGAAGATCGGAAACTTGTCATATAATCTCAATTACAATAAAATCGTTTTAAATTATTTCATTCCTTCGTTTTTGATTAATTGGAGTGATAAATAAAATTTATTTTTTTGCCTCTTTCTTCTACTTTTTTCTTTTCTTTTTTTTTTCTTTTTTTCGTTTATTTGGTTCGATCAATAAAAATTACGATAGAAATTGGGTGGGTACTTGCGCGATTAAAACAATTTTTCTAAACAGGTACCTAGTCGATTGCTCATTAGTGTCGGATATCTATCTATTTACGTGCATACTTGCATTTCGATAACTAACCAAATACCATAAAAAAAATTCAGAGTCGTTTCGTTCGACGAGCCTACGTTTATGGTTTTGACTTACCGAGGGAAAGTCAGACGGCAAAAAAAAGGGACACTTTCAAGAAAAGGGTTTTCGACTTCCTCTCCGACAATGGGAAAAAAGCTAAAGACTCGAACTTTCTTTTTTTAGGGCTCTCACTTCTCCTTTCCTTTTTTTCTCTTTTTTTTTCTTCTTTTTTTTTTTTTTTTAGCCGTATTCCTTCAACCCCTGCAATAAAGCAGCCATTCGGAGATAGTATATTTCTTTTTTTTTTCCACAAGGAGAAAGCGAGGAAGGAGAGAGTTAAGATTTGTGACTAACGTCAGGATGACAGGGTCGGTCAGTCAAGAAGGAAAAGTCGCAAACTTTCCTGATGAGAGATACCCAAGGAGATCCATGAGATCTCTCATGCGACATTTTATAGCGGTCTTTGCTCTTTAACTTCTTGTTCAAAGATAAGTCGAGTTGATTTGATATAGCGTACAGATAAACACTCTGATTGCAACCTCGAAGAAAAAGAAAAAGAAAAAAGTTAAAAAAAAAAAAAAAGAAAAAAAAAGGAAAAAAAGAGAAAGAGATAAGAAAAGTAAAAAAAAAAAAAAATAAAAAAGAGCGTATTGTAAGTGAAATAAAATGCGGAATAAATGGAACGATAGGAGAACATTTATATATAAAAAAAAAAAATTAAAGACGATCGTAATTATTATTTTCCAGGTCCAAACGGTTGTCCGAGGCGCCGTGGCAGGCAAACGTACACGCGATTTCAAACGTTGGAGCTCGAGAAGGAGTTCCACTTCAACCATTACCTAACGCGACGGCGGCGAATAGAAATCGCGCATGCCCTCTGTCTGACGGAAAGGCAGATTAAAATCTGGTTTCAGAATCGCCGTATGAAGCTGAAAAAGGAACTTAGGGCGGTAAAGGAGATCAACGAGCAGGCGAGACGAGAACGAGAGGAGCAAGACATGATGAAGAAGCAGCAGGCAGAGAAACAGGCGAAGATGCAGCAGGAGCAACAAAATGCCGCTCTACAGCATCAACAGCAACATCATGTAAGCGGTCTGGACAAGTCGCAGAGCGATCTACTCAAGGCGGTTAGTAAGGTGCCAACATAGGAGACCTTGCTGAACCGACTCTCTTTCTTTTAAAGGAAGAAACTAGAGACTGAAGCGACCTGGACGGATACGCCTACGAAAACGAGCGGACGGCTGGTAAGCGGACGGCTTCTTCCTCGCCTTCCTCCTCACCCTCCATTATAACTACCTTCTATTCCTCAAACTTCTTCATCGCTTCGTTAAGAGGAAGGAACAATGAAGGAAGGAAAGAAGGAAGCTTGGCTATGGATCCTGTGGACATCGAGAGCGTAGAACGAAGAAGAAGATAGGATTCGCCTCGTCGGATATATCCACCCACCCCCCTCTCCCTCCTCCTGCCCCACCCCACCTTTTATTCCTCTTTTTCCTATCTACATTCTTATTATTCCTTCCCTCATATTCCTTCGATCCATAACCCATAGACCCAACGAGGAAAGGCAGCGAGGTAGACGTTACGCTAACATAGTAGAAATATCGAAAAACGCATCGAAGTCTCGATTCACATGTACTTACTTACTTACTCGATGACCGGCCACCAAGCTTCCCTTCGCAAATAAGGAGAATGGCGATCGGGATATAGGCTGGTCACTGACTGATTCCTAGAACGTATAACGTGTATTTGTTAAATCGGCGAGCGTGATCGACGGATATAAAGGATGACGGCCTTCCTCAAGAGGACGAAAATATGTAATGGCTCCCAAACAAAGCCGATACTCGGCGAGACGCGAAAGAGAAAGTGACGGGGGTTGGGGAATGACAAAAGGGTCGATCGTGAAAACAGAGAGAGAGAGAGAGGGAAGAGCGAGAGAGATAAACGAAAGTTTTTGACTCGAAAGGAACGATTAGGATTTGACCTTCGTATATCGAACAGAATACACGAAACTACCATCGGAGGTCGACCGACACTCATTTTCAACGTGCTTCATGTTTATACTTGGCTAAATGCTAAAAGGTTAGACAGGATATTTCTCTATGACTCTCTCATTCTCTCTCTGTCCTTCGGATAGATCGCATCGAGAAAGTTGGAGCAACGAACCTAAGCGCTTGCGAAAATTTTGGACAGCTCGCTAACGCTTCTCTACTTCCGGTATTCGTTAGGTATTATTATTATTAAATATTAATTATTAATTATTAATTATTAATTATTAATTATTAATTATTATTATTATTATTATTATTATTATTATTATTATTATTATTATTATTTTGCGTCTTTCAAAAAGATTTCATCGTTTGTTGCTCGTCACAGAATGAATTGATCAATCGCGATAGATTCTCGCTATTGTTGTTTCGGAGCTCGCTTTTGCGTATTGTATATCTATATATATATATATATGTATATATATATATGTGTATTTATTTTTTTTTTCTTTCTTTCCTTTTTTCTCAACGACGGCGAAGAAAAAAGTGAGAGGAGAAAATAAAATATATACAGGATAAACACGAACGGGACGACGACGACGTCGAAGACGCGCGCGGCGGAAGGAACGCGACAGACGACTCGGCAGCTACTATTGACGTTAATAATATTATTATTAATTATTATTAATTAATTAATTATTATTATTAATATTATTATTATTATTATTATCATTATTATTACTATTATTATTATAGTTATTATTATTATTATAATTATTATTATTATTATTATTATTATTATTATTATTATTATTATTATTATTATTATTATTATTATTATACTATTATTATTATTATTATTGTTGTACCGTTCACAATATTGTTTCTCGATGAAGACAAAGTCTCGTCGAAAAATTTTTATTTTTTTACGAGCATCGCATCGAAGGTCGTTAAATTTTCTATAGAAATTGTTAGGTTTCCTCTTATTAATTTTCTTTTATTCGAGTTATCATACGTTAGAAATGTTATCGGCTCTTCGAACATGTCGTTCGTTAAAGTCGTGAGATCTTTATTTTAGTTACGCGACTTATATGCGTTGAGAGATTTTTATTGGATGAAACAACAAGAACCGGTAATTCTTGCCATATCGCAAACGATATCGATATATTTACGTGCGAGATAGTTATCTCGAGAAAGCGAGATGCTATGTTTTAATTTTTCTTTCTTTTTTTTTTTTTTATCTTTTTCTTAATTTTATTTTTTATTCTCATTTTTTTATTTTATTTTCTTTTTTTCTTTTTTGTTTTTTTTTTGTTTTCTTTTTTTTTTTTTTTTTCTTTTATTTCTATTAAACTTGAAACGTTGAAAATTTATATGATTTTCTATGAAGTTCGAATGGTTGATCGGTCGGTCGGTGCAATGTCGTTCGGGTTTTTTTTTTCTTTGTTTATTTTTTTGCTATTTTTCGCGTTCCTTCTCTTTTCCAATCTTCGGCTTCTTCTTTTTCGCAGAACTTAATACGAACTTTGAACCGATATAGAAATATATGTATGGAGTTGAAACAATTATTAAAAAGAAAAAAAAAAACGAAAAAAGAAAAAACAAAAAAAAAAAGAAAGAAAGACAGAAAGAAAGAAAGAAAGAAAGAAAGAAAAAGAGTAAAGAAGAAAAGAAGGCGCGCACATGCACCGTAAAAGAATATGCGGAGCAAGCGAGTAAAGAAGAATCTCACCGGACGAGTATCTCACTCTTAGTACATTAAATACGTAATTTGGTGTCAGGGTAGACCTTTCCATAGTTATATAGAATCCCGTTGTTGGTATTACATACTTAACAATTAGATTATTCGTAAAAAAGCGAGGAAATGTTATGCGAATGAAAGAGAGCGATCGAGCGAGCGAATGAACGAAAGAGAGAGAGAGAGAGAGAGATAGAGAGAGAGAGAGAGAGAGAGAGAGATAGAGAGAAAGAGAGAGAAAGAGAAAGAAAGAGAGGGAGTAAAAGAGAGAGAGAAAGAGTGAGAGAGAGAGAGAGAGAGATAGAGAGAGTGAGAGTATGCGAAATAAATAAAGAGACAGCGTTAAGCGAAATTAAGCAACTTGAAATTATATAGTATAAAAATTAATGCATATTATTTTTCTCTCATCCTCCTTGAGCCCCAGTGCCGCTTGCCATACTTAAATCCTGACCGCGATTCGTATTTACTTTATCTATCAATCGTCCCGCGCGTAGTATAGTAAAAGTATAGCATATGGATTTTTAAAAATGTGATGCGATCGTAAGTGTATGTTTCCGAGACCTTTAAACAAATAAAAAAATAAAGAAACGTCGATAATCGTCCGATTTGGAGTATATATATATATATATATATATATATATATATATATATATATGTATGTATGTATACATATAATATCTATATTTATTACGATACCATTAAATATTATTACGAATCGTGGAAGAGTCAATGATATACGTAAAGTTGTAGAGAAAGAAAAAGAATGATGAAATACTATAGAAACACGCATAGGCATAATTGCATACCGCCATAATTACGTACATATACGTAAACTAAAACAACTAATAAAAAATATTTCTTCAAAAGTCAGGATGTATCGTACGCGGCGCATTGTAAGAAATGATAACAACGTAAAGCCATATTGTACACAGTACCGTATTATATATAAAAATATATATTATATTAAAAGTAATAGGTATGTTATTAAATATATATATATATAAATATATATGAAAAAAAGAAATCGAAAAAAACCTATCAGACACACCTAAATACATACCTATATAAATACACACCAAGAAATTTTGATAGAGCGATAACGTTTTAGAATACGTATATATGAAATGTACGTAATAACAAAAAAAAAAAAAATAAATAACGCGACCGTTAATTCGACAAACCGTACGAATGGATGTTGAAAAATAAAAATAAAAATAAAAATAAAAATAAAAATAAAAATAAAAATAAAAATAAAAATAAAAATAAAAATAAAAATAAAAATAACCGAGGCCGAATACGCGCTGGTGACTCTTTTAACGAAAAAAATAAAAAAAAAAAAAAAATAAATAAAAAAAAAAAGAAGAATAAAGATGAGAAAGAGGAAAGGAAAGCGAGGAGATATTAAAAGAAAAAAAAAAAAAGAAAAAAAAGAAAAAAAAAAGAAAAAAAAACGAGAAAAGAAAGATAAACAGACATGCGTATGCAAAGAAGAGACATGCGTATCCATTCACATACACAGGATAACGGAGGTGAGGCCGCGTTTTTATTACTATTCTACCGCTGATTATCTTAAAGCTAAACTAATAATTATAAATATAATCTTGTACGTAACGTTTAACGATTAAGCTTGCGCATGCGAGTTCGTGAAGACGATGTTACTTCTCAGACGATGAAAATATCTCTCCGCGCATAGCGAAACGCGCATACCGCAATCCATAAAAACAGAAAGAGAGAAAGAAAGGAAGGAAGGAAGATAGAAAAAGATACAAAGATAAAAAAGAAAAGAGAGAAATAGATAGATACGTAGAAAGATTCAAACACATAGGCTGGACATATGCGTATGTAAATAAATGAATAAAAAAAAAAACAAAAAAAAACCACACATACAAAGAAAGAGAGAGAGAGAGAGGGAGAGAGAGCGGAAGAGAGAAATGTAAAATATGCGCGTATTGAAAATATGCATGGGCGTCGACTAGATTGGATTTCTCGATTGGTAATTCGTTCGACCTAATCTATCCTTCTTCTAATCCTTACTTTTTCTCTACGTTTTACGTAACATTACATGAACGAGTGAAAGCTGTGTCGTGACGTGAAGAAAAAGAAAAAGAAGAAGAAGAAGAAGAAGAAGAAGAAAAAGAAAAAAAAAAAAGAAAAAGAGAGAAAAAAATAGATAAAAGAAAAAGGTTCGAACGAATTCCACGAGAAATCCTTAAAGCCGATCATGGCGTTCCTCCTCTTTCGCGCATCCTCAACGCACATAAATAAACCAATTACTATTGTACGTAGTCGTATATCGGTTCCGCATAAGCCACCACTATCAAGTCACCCTTGATTATAAAACATTCATCCCTCTTTAAATTGGCTCGAGCCGATATTAAGAGGATACGGCGCTTTTTCTGTTTTTTTCTCCTTTTTTTTTTTTTTTTAGATATTTCGGTTATTTATTTCGCATAAGGCCGCTACATATTAGAATCCTTTCGTTTCTTCCGTCGTACCGTCAGAGAGAGAGAGAGAGAGAGAGAGAGAAAGAGAAAAAAAAAGAGAGGGAGCCAGACAGAGAGAAAGAGAGAGAAAAAGAGAGAGAGAGAAGATATGAGAAACGTGATCGTAGATAGGAATTTACTTTCGCTAGGATCGTATACGGATTTAACGAGAATAAAAAAGAGGGGGAGAAAGAAATAGAAAGAGAGAGAGAGGGGGGAAGGAGTAAAAATATTGTTAAAGGAAGTAAACGAGTCGATGTGAAAGAACGTACGCGATGTTATTGTAACTATTTGTAGAAAAGTTTTACATACTTACGACTTATTATTGACTATTATTATTATTATTATTATTATTATTATTATTATTATTCTTATTATTATTATTATTATTATTATTATTATTATTATTATTATTATTATTATTATTATATATTAATAATATTATTATTATTATTTTTATTATTATTATTTTTATCATTATTAATTATTATTATTATAATTATTATTATTATTATTATTATTATTATTATTATTATTATTATTATTATTATTATTATTATTATTATTATTATTGTCATTATCGTTATTGTCATCACTATCATAATCATCATTATCATCAGCATCATCATTATCATAGTTAAGTTTTCACGTTGTAAACCGATTAGTATCGTTAAATTCTTGATAACGCTCAGCAGGAAGTATCTGCGGCAACGGCGCCGATACGTCCGA